AATAGGAAGATCCAGGCAGGTTTTGAGCTTGCGGCAAGACATCTTGCCCTTTGCAGCTTCACGAAAAAGCAGCCGCGAGGCAGTCGAGGACAGTTCGCTTGGTCTTCCCGTAGACTTTGCTTTCCCGAACTCGTGTTTTTGAAGCACCTACCTCGGCGAGATCATCGCCACGTCCAGTTATATTCGCCAGGTGGTTTCGGACCACCGTTCGGGAGCGACCAATCTCGTTACCAATGGCACCAGGGGACCAACGAGCAGTGTGGAATGCCAGTATTTGAGCTTGCTCGACCTCAGTGAGTTTTGACGCCCGTCCCATCAAAAGTTTCGCTGATGAGGGTCTTCAGGGCACGTGGGAGCCCTCGGACAGTCGAGGCAGGTATGTAGAAAGTTGTTAAATGCTTATCTTCTCTTATCAACTCTTGTTTTAGGCAAAGTGAAGGAAGTGGTCTATCATTTTTTCGCGCCTCTTCTTTTGAATTCGTGGGTCTTCTTGGCTTCTCTCGAAGGACAATTGACTCGTTGCATGAGCCTTTGCTCCTGCTCAATCCTCATGAGAACTGGTTTTGTTTGGATGAAAGTCCTGCATTTTATCGACTTCCTTTAGCGTGATTGGCCAACACTATGAGCGTGACCTATCATTTTGGCGCATACTGTAGAGAGGAACATCTGAGTTTCCAAGTTGCTTGGAAACATGGCACACCGACGCTCCCCCATGACACGTTTCGTGGCTATAATCACACCCATGCAATACTCCATGCATGGTCCTGCGTGACGAAGTGGTCACGTGGTCATGCACAGTGTTTCATCAAATTTTGAGACATTTCAAGTCGGTGTTTTTCGGAGTGCGATTCGGATTGTTTAGTTTTTTTTCGAAAAATATGTACTTTTGACCATATATATTTTCCCTGTGGCTTTTTATCCAATTTCACAACTCCAGTCACCTGGACAAAACATGCTTCCATGACGTCAACAAGTCGTACTGGACAGAGTACAGCGGAGGCAAATAACCATGCCGCGCCGAACAGCAAGGTTGCTAGAGCCCGTCAGGATCGACAAGCATGCGGCCGAGCACGTCGGAGTTGTCGTAACATGGTGCTGCCACGTCATTGTACTGCATGGCGTTCCACTTAAGTACGCCAGACTAATCACCCCACGTTTGATTAATTTGTCAAGCGTAACGACCCCGAAACCCCGAAAGCCGAGACATCATTCCGGCAGGCCATTGTTCGGTAACCAAAGAGCCAAATGTCCATATCCGGAAAACATCTCCAATATCCGTATATCATGGTTTGAATCGTCCGAGGTGAAGTGGACGTTGGCATCATGGACGGCTCAGGCGGCGAAGGCGTGAAGAAGCGGCGTAAATGCGTCTCAAAGGCAGATCGACTGGCCAAGAAAGCGCTTGCAGATGCCTTGACAGAGGAGCAACGGTTTGAACGGATGAAAACACTGGTTCAAAGCGCTCGTAGCGAAGATTGGGATGCTGCAAATCGGCTAGTAGCCTCACAAGCAACCCAGGTCTTGTTCCTCACGAGTTTGCTGCAAAAATATCAAGGGCGAGCAGCTGCACACTACATGAAGCGATGGAGTCTTCCCCCCCCGTTCGAATTGTCTGATTTGTTGAAGACCCCAGCTCTCCTCAAAGTCTTGGACTCGCATGCCACGGCTGCAGCCACGTTTCTCAACACGTGCGCAGGCAGCGGCGTTGTGCTGTCCCCGCATACGTTGTACTTCATTTTGAACCACTTTGTCCTCCCTTGGATCGCCAGGGATCTCGACGCGCCCCTTCAAATATTGCTCCATAACTTTTCATCCTTGAAGTGGCTCCTGCTCGAGCATGCTCTGGTCACTGGCCAAGGGCGCCACTTGATCAACCAATACACATACGTGTGCAAGGAACTGAAAAAGACAAATGCGTCGCTGACGCCATGGTGGTCCAACGAGCTCCACGAAGCATCTTCCACCGACACGAGAGAACGAATCCGACAGACCATCGAAGTGTCCTTGACCCGCGTTTGGCCAGACGCAACAGTGCACTTGTTTGGATCGTCCAAAACCAAACTCTGTCACGCCAACGATGACGTCGATCTGTGCGTTCTCGTGCCTTCCTGCGACGTCCACGGGGCAGACTTGGTGGACTTGTTGGTTGACATGCATGGCCACTTGTCCCTGTTTTTCCCTGACCCGGACGCTATCGTCGTTCGGAATGCTCGAATTCCAGTCATCAAGACGAAAGACGTTGAGAGCAAGCTGTGCGTCGACTTGTGCATAAACAACATGGCTGCCCTCTGGAACACGGCGCTCATTGTGGCATTTCTCCAGCGCTATCCTATCTTGGAGCCGCTATGCAAATGCATTCGCCACTGGGCCAAAGCCCGCGCGTTGGTCGGGGCTTCGCACATGCTGTCGAGTTATTCGATGGTTTTGCTTGTGATTCACTGGCTTCAAGTTCGCGGGGTCGTGCCATACGTGGATGTTTCATGCAGCCACTCGTTGGACGTGTCCGCCATGGACGACACGATTGCCCAAGCTTTTGACGACGCGGTGGTGCCGTCGGACGCTACCGACGGACTCCGGCCCGTGCCGGAACTCCTCATGGACTTTTTCGTATTTTGGGCGAGCGAGTTTCCGTATGCGACCCGAATTGCTAGTCTCCGTCGCGACGACCTGGTCAAAGAGGGCAAACACGCCAATTCACCGATTCTCTTCTTGGAAGACCCCATCGAGACCACACGGAACCTTGGGTCGTACTTGAATCGAGACACGCAGCGCCTCCTTCGCAACGAAATGGTGCGGGTTTGTGTGTTGGTGCGGCAGTGGCAAATCCAACCACCCCCGTCACTGCTTCTACAAAGCGTCCTGTTTGACGACTGTTCGTTGAATCCACAAGCAACGGCGGTGTATGCTCCGGACGCACTGCACGCGTGTATCGTACGTCGCCGCTCTGCCCATTCGCAGAGCTTTACCATGACCGGGGATGTTGTGTTTGGCGAACGCAGTCGGCTAGAGGTGGACGTGGTGGCGACCAACAACAACGATGCCCGGGATGTTGTTGCAATGGCGTTCCGGCGAGGCATCGTGGGCCTGGATTGCGAAGGCGTCGCGCTCGGTCGCACGGGCATGATTTGCCTCGTGTCGCTATCCGTTGGTAGTCGAGTGTTTCTGTTTGATATTTTGGCGAGTCCGAGTCTCATGCAAGTGCTCAAACCACTCCTGGAATGCCCGTCGACTCTCAAGGTCATGCACGACTGCCGCAAAGACAGCGACGCGCTCTTTCACCAGTTTGGGATTGTGCTGACTAACGTGTTCGACACTCAGGTCCGTGCCCTGTGTGTGATGCCACTCACGGGGCTATGAATAGGTCGGGTATGCCATGTGCCAGCTTCAGCGCGTCAACAAGGCAAAGGAAGCGACCAAGTGCTTGCCAGTACGGTCCATTCCGTCGCAACTCAGTTCTAGCTGACGGGTGCGTTGTCGTAGATATCAAGTACCCTCGTGATTCCTTTGGGGAATGCCAACAGCGAATGCATCGCGTTTAGCGACTTGTTGTGGCAATGCCTGTCCATTTACGAGCCTGCCAAGCACGAAGTCAAAGCGTCCATGACAAGTGCAACGTGGACCGTTCGTCCTCTGACAGCGCAATTGATGCACTATGCTGCAGTGGATGTCATGTATTTGCCAGTATTGTATCGCGTGCTGGTGAAGGCGCTCACCGCAGACAGCTTGGCGTTGACGCAGAAGCGCACGACCAAGTACTTGAGTTGTCGGGAATGGACGTATGCTGTCCCAGCCGCCACCGACCCCTCGTCACCTGCAGTGTCCATTGGGCAGGTCGTCCCTGGCTTCATCAACAACGTGACACAGAAGAACGTGTACGTCTCGATCTCGCCCAACGTTGTTGCGGCCGTCGCCATCTCGACTCCGACGCTTCCGATTCCTGGGGATGGCATGTCGGCGCTGCATGTGGGGGATGCCGTGTCCATGTGCATTTCGTCGGTGGACGCGTCGGGGGCGGTCATCGGCGAATTCCACTCCCCCCCATTGCTTCGTTGAAAAACCTTAGATTCCTGAGTCAAGCAACTGTTACTCCTGGTCGCTCGCGAGCACTTCATGCAACCCCCTTCGATTGAGCATTTGATGTTTCTGCAGCAGCTGGCGCCGATTTTGTTGCGGATCCGAAAAGTTGAGTCGCGACCCGAGCACTTCGTCGCGAATATCTGTCTGGAGCGTCTTGAGGATTGTGACCATGGATGGCCGTTCGGTGGGCAAGTCGGACAAGCACTGTTCGATCAGCGCCCGCCGCCGGGGCGGACATGTCGGCGGAATGGTCGGTCGCAATGTCCCCATCGCGACTTGCATCATGATATCAATTGTACGCAAGTCGTCGCAGTCAAAGTACGGATCCCGCCGGGACTCGAGTTCGATCAGGACAATGCCAAAGCTGTAGCAATCGACTTTGTTTTGGTACGGAATTTCCCGGAGGATTTCCGGGGCGAGCCAGTACGGCGTCCCGACCATTGTTTCCAAGCATTCTTGCGTTTGGACTTGCTTGGACTCGCCAAAATCCGAGACTTTGCACGCGTACGTGGCTGTACAGAGGAGATTCTCGCACTTGAGGTCGCGATGGATCACGTTGCTGTGGTGGAGGTACGCGATGCCTTGGGCCGCGTCGATGGCAATTTGAAGCAGCGGATCATTCCACTCGAGCGCCATTGGCGTCCGGAGCAGGTTGTACACGTTGCCTTTTTCAACGTACTCGGTGACAACACACACGTTGGTGAGGACGTCGAAGCTCGCGCCGATGAACTGCACCACGTTCGGGTGCCGCAGACATGCAAGCAACTCGACGTGGGCTTTAAAATCCATGATTGTTTCGCGGGTCAGGACGCTCAGCCTAACGCCGGAACCGTCATTGCGATGCACAAGGGGCATGGTTGAGATGACCAGAATTTCCTTACCGCTTGATCGCAACGCGGAGGCCAGTGTACTCGCCGCGGACAACATCGCCTTTGGCGTGTTCGGTCATGAGTTCGTGTAGGGTCAGGTCGCCGAACGGGATCGACACGTTATGAATAAGTGCGTTTTCCGGTGTTTTCGCGAGCAACTAACGGCCGCAACCCGCGCCAAGTCAACGAATGCTGCGACAGTGGAATCTCTGCTTACCTCGAGCAGCAACTGCTCCTCAAACACCCCCACGCGGCCCTGCGTTTGGTACTGCAGTCGATTCACAGTCACGCCGTGCTTGAGCGCTGTGTTGACCCGCTCAGCGTTGACCTTGGAGAAGAAAGCCATGCGCGCGTCGCGATCGATGAAGTAGAACGCGGTCAGCCCCGTCACAATTGGCAGCACAATTGCAAACGAAAACACAAAATAGTTGGACGTGTAGTACACGGCATTCGTCGGTGGATCCAACGTCCAGTCCAGCAGGTAAAACACAAATGAACTGCCCAGCACGAGCGCTGCCTACACACCACAGGATTACACTAGTGGCCATCGTGGGTCGTCGTGGCGAGGGTACCTGAGGGAAGTCCAGCTTGAGGGTGAGGCACAGCACCAGCGACGTGGCTGTCACGTTGATGATAAACATGTTGTACAGGTAATCTTGGAGACCGGAAATGGACGCCGCAATGTCGTCAAACAAGGACGCCGCGCCTGCATGCATACCTGCGATGTCGCGGCCGCACGAGCCCGCATTGTTGTGGCGCGTGCGAAAGTCACTCAGACTCGACCGGTGGACCGTCTTGTAGTAGACGAAGTAGCCCACGCAGAAGAGCATCAATATGAGCGTGACAAAATGCTTCCAGTATCGACGGATCCAGTACGCGAATAGCTTGGTCTTCCCCCACGAGTTGAAGACCCGGAACGGCAGCAATGCCATCACCGCCAACGGAAGGAACGCCCAGTGAAACGGATCTGCGTACTTGTCCGCGATGAAGTCCATCCCGACGAGCGGCGTGTCGTGCTTGGTATTGAACCACCACACGACCATCGCCACGCGGGACACGATCAAAAGGAAGAGTACAACCTGAGACTGGTAGATCGACTGCTGGCTCACGTCGAGTTGGTACGACTCTTCAGTGCGGGCGTTGTGGAAAAAGTTGAAAATTGTCATGAGTGAACTCTCTTTGGTGGAAGCGGACCGCCAGAAGAACTGCTTCATCGTGTCGCACGCAGCCTGGCGCGCTTGGATAAACGACTCGCTGTCGTCGGTGCTCAGGATCACGTTCTCTTCCATCCCTTTACAGCGGACTTGAAAAAAATAATCGTCTTTGTCGCTCACGGGCGTGTGCATCGGCACGCTTGCACCTGCATGCTGTGGTGTTTCGTCGCCTCGCGGGGTGGCGAACGTGGCATGCTTTCGCGACGACTCGATGTGTCGTGGAAGCGCTCCGGTCATCGCGATCACGGTATCCCTCTCTTCAGGACTTGGCGCCATGCCAAAAGGCGTCACTGTCTTCTTAGACATCGCGCTTAGATGTGCGCGTCGCTCGTTCTCGTGCGCCGCCTGCCCTTGAGTCCGTCGGGAGATGCAGCAGTCGTGGACGCCTGTCTTGACCTCCAACGTCGCACAGCGTGAATATTACTCTCAAAATTATATACATTTACCAATAGAATAAAATTCCAGTAATCGATTTCCCAGCTCAACATTTTCACGGTGGCGTGTAGCTTCGAACTTCGATTTTTGTATACAAAGCCAAGTATCCAGTTCATCGTAATCTTTGCCTTCGGAGGAGAGTGAGTTCCACTTAAGCTAAGTTGCGCGCATCTATACTTGGTCTTTGTATTATACCGAGCGCCGTTGACCCCTGCGTTTGACTCTCAATTGTGATCGTCGTACTTGTGCAAGAGTTTGCATTGTGAGGAGAGTAAATCTTACTCACTCCGTATCTATGATTCGCGCGGTTATACTTGATTTTTGTATACTTACGCGGCCTTCAACCACTCTCTGGACTCTCGCCCTTGGGCAAGCGTTGTCGACCGCAGAGCAGCGCGATTATCCGGAATTTCGTATCCGGATGTGCAAGTCCAAGTGTCTAACAATCACAGAAAAGAGTGTCCGCAATGATCTTCCTCGAGAACGAGAGCAAGATCGTCCAAGAAGTGCTCCTTGGCCGCCTGGGCGAAGCGTACGTGTACGCATATTGCGTAGTTTCATGATGCACTAGGGCGCCACGGCCGGTGGATCCGCTGGAGATTCGTTTGTGTGACTTTGACGGTGAGTGTCCTATATGGACGAAGCACAGTGCAGACGCGAGGGCGTCACAAGTTACATGCGGGTAGATGTGCAATACGACATTTCGATTCAAGGCACAGCTCTGTCCGTGTCCATGGCCTATCGCCCGTATATCGAGCTCCAAAAGTACGTACACTTCAGGACAAGGTCAAGAAATGAAATGTGGACGGTCGTTGCAGGTTTGGTGCCGCCAACATGCTCGCAAAAGTGTACCCGGAGTTTCAGGTCACGGCACCCAAGCCTGGATTCGAACTTACGCTGGTGGCGAACGTTGACACGATTACACCGCAGAATGCCGGTACTCCTCTCAACCCGTCCATCCACTTTTCCGAGCATTGTAGCTCATCGACTTGTTAGCGAGTGTCGTGAACCGCATTGCGTCGCTGAAGCGAAACATTTTGGGCGCGCCATTAGACCAGTTTGTTAATTCTGTCCCTCGCTGCTTCTTTCACCCCTGATCATGTTCGCAATGTAGTTGCTTCCTCGCTCTGCACGCTGGGCAAGCCAAGGTGCTGAGTCCGATCCAAATCCCGTTTCGACGCCAAGAAACTATCTATATTCTCCCGCAAGACGACCGCATTGTGATTGTGTTCTCTGTGGCATTCCAAGACAAGACGGACCAGGCCATTGCCCGCGTCTTCCTCCAAGTACCCTGTCCATCTTCGCCTTGTTTTCCAGCATGAACCTTTGCGTAGGAATTCGCTGAAGCCCGCCGCCATGTGAACAACGCGCCACCCGTGAGCTTTGGCAAGGACCCCCCGCTCGAACTCCGTGCCGTCTCGGGCCTTCGCCCTTGTGCTGACCACGTCGGCTACCTCAGCTTCGGTACGTGTGCAATTCTTCCATGGAGTGGTAAAACTCAATTCGTGGACTTCACACAGCCATTTTCAAGAGCCACATCGACACGGACGCGAAGCGTGAGAAGGCGTGCACGCTCCTCCAAGGATTCCGCAACTACTTGCACTACCACATCAAGGCATCGAAGACGTACTTGCACATTCGGATGCGCAAGCGCGTGGACCTGCTCTTGCAAGGTACTTGTAGTCGTCGCGGCAACCCGTCACGTTGAGCTGTGTAGTGCTCAACCGAGCGCAGCCGCCAAAAGATCCGACCAAAACGTCCAAGAAGACAATCACCGGGAAAACGTTCGACCGCAAAGTATAAAGCGCCTCGTCGTCGGCCAGCGACGGCTATCCCCATGCACACGAGCGACGCGTGGGATAACACACAGACCGGAACATAAAGCATGCCTGGAGTCGTTCATTGTTCATGCAGTGCTTTGGTGCTATCGTTCTCTGCCAGATAAGTGGCCATAGGAGTGCCAACAATAGATGCTGGCGATAACTCCATGATGCCGTCGCTGTGCTCAGCTAGTCGGATTTCTTCCTCCGAACAAATCATCCCGTTCGAGACTTCGCCCCGCAGTTTCGACTTCTTGATCTTGACTACCTTGTCCACCAACGACCCTTCATCCTCGGGGTTGGGCACACGGAACGTTAATTTGGTACCGATAGTCGCCACGGGCACCTTCATGCCTTTGCGTACGTTTGGTGCGCCGCAAATAATCTGGACAGGTTCAGCATCAGCTGCAATTGCCACTTCGCAGATATTCAAACGCTCCGCTTGCGGGTGGCTCTTGAACTTGACAATCTGCCCCACCACGACGCCTTGCAAGCGTGTGGACGAAGAAAACCACCGGATCATGCCGCGCGCGAGCATGTTGATGTGCTCCGTGCAACGAAAGGCTCAAGACTTGGCCGAAATCACCCGGATAAAAGGTTCTATTATCCGTATGCCGAGCGGGGTTTCGGGGTTCTTGACTAAATCGTATTTTGGCGCTGGCGCAGCGCTGTGGCGCCACCACTCCAGTCTCTGCCGTTTTCCGATGCAACTCCGTCGGACCACATCTTGCGTGGCGGCGAGTGGCGACGCGGGCTGCTTCGGGGACTGCCGATGGGGGACAACGGCTGGGACGTCGTCAACGGCAAGTGGAAGTCTTGGGGAATGTTCATCTTGATCGTGATCGTGCGCGACAGCCACGCGAGCACGAGATGCAGCAACTTGATGTGTTTCTCGGCCAACTCGATAAATTCAACGGCAGGTATTTCCAGTAGCACCACCGACAGGTGCATGGACACGGCAGTCGCGGTGCTGATGTGGGTCGCCCCCCGGCTGAACGACTACACGTGTCATGAGGAGTGAACCGATTCTTTCGGATTCACGGGATGCGTACCAATTCACCAAACGAGTCGCCGGGCTCAAAAGTTTCTTTAAGCGTTCCATCGCCGTCCTGCGGCGAGTTCGTGGCGCACACGACAGACCCTTCCACGACCACAAACATGCTCGATGCTGGCGCTCCATCGTGATACAGAGTCGCGCCGTTTGGCAAAACTACGACTTGGGCCATTTGAGCCACCGCTGCAATCTACCATCAAGTCAGACATGGTGCGCAAATTCTTTCGCACCTGATCGTCGTCCATGTCCTTCATAAACGCCGACGCTTTCAAGTGCAGGCACTTTTCCAACCGAGTCATCGTGAAAGTGTCCAAGGCGTGCGTTGACGTCGCGTCGAAGTCGCTCGAGTTGAGTTGGAGAGACGAGTACTCCCTCAAGTGGCTCTTGGACTGCGAACGGACAAGCAATTCCTTCTTCGGCGCGGTGGATGTTGCCATGACCTTTTGCGCTTCCGTTGACGGCACCTCCGATTTCGACCGATGGCGCTGTCGTCCGATCTTGGATAGCATGGCCGTCGCGGCCTTGTCCACGTTTGCCGTGACGGTCACTTGGGACACGAGTCGTTTCAACCTGCGGTTGTCAGTCGAGTTGGTGGCCTATGTGGATGTTGAAGACCCAAAGATCGAAATGGAGCAGAGATCTATGTGGCGTACTTGAAAGTAAGTCCACTTGAGCGCCGACGCCAGCGCGTCCAGCACGCCGCGGGCGATCGCCGTGCTTGTTTGAATAAGCGTTTTGAACGACGTCTGTGAGATGCTGAGCAATACGCAGTCGGTGAGGGCCGTGGCGGATGTCGGATGCGTCCCTTTTGACATCAACAGAGCCAACTCGCCCACGCACGCTCCAGCATGCAGCGTCGCCAAGACCGCGTCATTGTGCTGATGTAGCTGCACCGAACCCGACGCAATAACGTACATGTGCATCGCTATATCGCAACGAGGTCAACATCCACGCATGACGACGGCATCTCGTGACGACGATACCAGCGTCGCCTTCAGCCACGATGACGGCGCCGGCCGCCACAACGACTTGGGAAAAGTGGGTCGCAATCTTTTGCACGAGCTCAATCACGTTGATGGAGCGGAAGAGGGCGCAAGCTCGCAAACTAGTCACGACCTACGAACTCCAATTCATCCTTGTGAAAAATCGGTTTACCCATGACCAACGTACGTCGAAATATGCCAGTGGGGTCACAGTGGGCGGTGCACTCGTTGCGGTTGGCAACGCAATAGCTTGAAACATTCGCCGCAACGTCTTGGCCCGGTCGGTGGTCATGGCGTGGCTACGAAGGCAAAGAATGAGCTCGAACAGCTGAATCAAACCGACGATCGCCGTACGACAGCGTGCGGACGACCGCTTCCTTTGCAATGGGATGTTGAATCAGGCGGTGGGCTTGGGACTCGGGCAAGACAACCGTGTCTTCAACTGCGAACGTTGTCGCCAAACCAAGGTAATGCTCCATGGCCAGACAAGACAACTCCATGTCGACGGCGGGATCGGTCATCGACTCCATCACGTGGTCCAACGCAGACCGCACCTGCAAGCTCTGGACATGCTTTCGAATCTACGAAGGAACGAGACCTGTCAGAACAGGCTACAGCGCAATCAAATGCAGACAACTTGAAGAGCAGCGGGGGCTTTTGGCGATTGCGGAAACAGGAGTGGAGTCAGGGTGTGCTTGAAAGGAGACTGGAGCAGCGTCTCGAGAACCTCCTACCACGCAAGAATGGGTCAAGCTCGCGACCAAAACCTCAAACGGCTCCAACCTGGACGGCAGAGAGCACTTCGGGCACGTCCGAATGCAACCCTTCGATCAGTACGTGGACATTGAACCCCTGTGGGAACTTGGACGAGACGAATTTGAGCACCACACGCAGGAGATTATCGAGAGCGCACTCGAGCACTTGGGCGAGCAAGCCGCCTCCAAGCACGGCGTGGGTGTCGTCAGCAAAGAGCTGCCGCAGATGATGCAGTTGATATGCTTGGAACACGTACGCTGCCACAATGCGGTCGACGCGGGACAGCATGGCGAGCTGGTCGTTGTGGCTCTCGGCGCTCACACGAATGATGGCGTCCGCGAGAAGCTCCCACAGAGGCAGGCGCTGACTGAGCACCAGGACATGGCTGAGGTCCATTTCGACGGGCACGTTGTTGAGTCCTTCCATGTCCATGAGGGCGTCCATCATGTTAAGCACGGCATCGACCTTGGCATGAGGCGGAAATTGCCCCATCTCGAGGCACCGAACTCCCCCCAATGCCGCTTCGAAGTTGTGTGCTTCAAGCGCTTTCTCCAGGTAGTCCACAATGTTTTCCCATACAATGGACGGTGGAAACGTCGAGAGAGCGTCAAGGGCTTCCGCGCGGAAGGACGCGTCGGCAAGCCACTTGACCAAGGCGGGAACCAACATGGCCGACGTTCGCTTGCTCTGGCGACAACACTCGAGCGCGGCGTGGACAATGCGCGACTCCTGGCTTTGGTGGAGGAGGTAGACGAGATACCCGTTACCCAAAAGCTCTGGCAGCTCTCTGCCCACGATACGCAAGCAAATGACTTTAGCTTTGACGTCCGGCGGTTCGTGCAGCAGCTTTTGCAGCAAGATCGTCGCCCGTTCGTCCATCCATTGCGACGCCCGCAACACAGAAATTGCCACCCCCACGCGAAGTGACACATCTATTTCGGTGTCCAAGCACTCGTGCAATCGCTCGAGTGCTTGGTCGGAGCTGTACCCGCAGGCCAAGACGGCCGCCAGTCGCAACTGACGTGGTAACGTTGTGTCGTGGTATAGCGCGAGCAGATCGTCCACGTGAAAGATGCATGCCGATTCGTCGTGGTGCTTTTCTTTGGTGTATGCCACGTGCAGCTGCAGCAGCTTGAGCTTCGTCGGGAGCGTCATGTCGGGGCGGTAAAACACATTTCGCAGGTCCTACGACAGACGAATTTGGTACACTGGTGCCATAGCAATCCATGGGACAGGTCCACCACCAAGCGAAAGGTCGGCACGACGAGTGGTGCTCTCGTCGTACGGCACCATCGACGTGAACAGCGTTTGCAAGGAGGTGGACTGTGGTGGGTGTGAGGATTTCCACAAACGTACTGTGTGAAACATGGGCACATGGGGAGGGCAAATGAAGCCCAAGACAAACGCAATGCGGTTCGACTCGCCCCGTCGTAGCGTCGATTGAACCAAGTCCACCTGCACCGCGTCGATGAAAACGGAGCAGTATGGAGTATGGAGGACTTGTCGAACCTGGTCCGTGGTGAAATCAATCAAGTGCGATGTCACGTCCATGTGTCCTTTCTTTAGCGACGCGTAAAACTCGGCTGCATACGCTTGGCGAGCAGCCAATGCATCTCCAAACCATACTATCCCGAGCACGATCACGGCCACACTAAACACATGCACGCCATCGAAAAAAAATATGGAAAGCGATGCGGATGACGCACCTGACAGCGCTGCTTCCACTGCAATAATTCGTGACGAAGTCGGACGTGAGTGTCATCGAAAAGAGTGCGCCGACGATTCGGGCCAGCGACCGGAACGGCCCGGTCACGAAACTTTTAAACTTGCTGCGGTCCTGGGCATGCAGCGGTAGCCAGAGCAGTTCGCGTGCTGGGTTGAAAATCGCATACGAGACGCTGTTGTACGTAGCCCTGCTGCCAATCAACCCCACACTCGACTACACGACCAGGGTCAAGGCAAGCGCTCCAGATTCTCCACGCACCGACGACAGATACGTCGTGATCCCAAACACGAGCACCGCCAACGGCAACGTGCTGATGCCGTACATGACTCCAAAATATGTAAACAACGGACCCGCCATGACCTGCACAGGTATCATAACGCTGGGTGGATCTGTCGAAATTCAAGTCGCACCTGGAGCGGCATCATGAGAAAGCTCTGGACGCCGTTGATGGACCCGAGCGCATCTTTCACGGTGGCTTCGGGGTACTGGCCGAGAATCGCAAGCGTTGAGTAGTCAATGAAGACTCGGGCGACGGTCGCCCCGAATTCAAAGAAACACACGTGTTTCAAGTAGGACCGGCGCTGGATCTCAGAGAGAACAGAGGTCGGGGCCCCCGCGCTGTCGACATATTGATTAGTTTAGATACGTGAAAAGTGTGCGTACGTGGGTTTGGAAGGCTTGGACGTGACTTGAAAAAGCGGCGTGATGGTGACCATGGAGAGACCGATCGTTGCCTGCAGTAGTGCCACCACCACGAGCGTGCCTTCTGTAGACACCTCAGTTGCGCGCATAAGAGGAATCAGTCCAAAGCTGGCACACAACGTCCCGATGGTTGACCCAAACGTGATCGCGCCAAAGTACTGCTTCGATTCGGACACGTTGAATGCCGCCGAGCAGATGTCCCAGAACTGCTGGGCCAGGAGCTGGCCCGATATTTCGACCCACGTGTACACGAGGATGCTCGTGATGTACACCAAAGAAGGAGCGTAGACCAAAAGCGCCCAAAAGAGCATCATGAAGGCCGACGACATACAGGGAAATGCATATGCAATCGAGCTGGCGTGGACACCTTCATACAGGCACGACTCAGGATATGTGCGCGCTGCCATTTCGATGCGTACCTCGCTGCTGGAGTTGGGAAATGGCCGTCGACGCGTATGCCGTTGCGAACGACATGAGCAAGACCATGTGGGAGATGTAGCGCGAGTCGTACACACGAAGGAAGACAGTATCTCGAGTTACACTGCTCAGCACCGTCACACTGCTGCAGGACACGACGACAACGACACGGTAGCGTAAGCGGCAAGGACGTGACAAAACCATCGACAACGACTTACCATTGCATGGCAAAGAGACCACAGAAGAGGGCGACGCGGACGTACACGTTCATCGGCATTCACGTCAACGCTCGTCGCAGAGGCCGCCGTCGAGATCGCCTTGTTGACAGATCCTACTTCCTGCACCTCAATCCCTATTTACGCACAGATATGGATATATACGCACCTATTCCAACGACACCATGGTGCGCATATATCGAGAGTAGGGTTTTGCGACAGGCACGCATTATTTATTACTATTCACACAGTCAAGTAAATAATCCCATCGATCGAAACCCATTTAAATAATCCTCATTTATATTTCTCTATCAAATCTATCGAGTTTTTGGGCAGAAGGTGATGTGAAGGGTCTCGAACCACATGCAGTCCCACTGCGCATGGAAGAGCTTCTCACAGTCCTTGCCGTCGCAGCGCAGGACGGGACAACCTTCACGAGAAGCACCAGCTCGCATCGGAGTAACCTCCACTGGCACGTTGAAACCATTGTTCGTGGAAATCGAGTAAAACACTTGGCCGTACTCACGGTTTACAGCAAACGCTAGACAACTTCATCGTTAGCGTGATCAAGATTGGTGGGGCTCTCGTACTTGTGGCCGCGATGGATTTGCCTAAACGAAAGTTGCCAGCAATGACGTCATCCCAGGGTTTTCCTGGAACGACCATGGCATACTTGGTCGAATTGAGGTCGCGACAGCTCACTTCTGACGGAGAATTTGGCAATGTTCGAGTGAAGTACACAGTTGATTCGGGCGTGCATTCATTCAAAAACACCAGAGCGCCAGGTTCGCCGAGCTGATTTACAGGCGCAGCAGTGGTGCTTGGTGAAGGAGGTTCAAGCGGGAGGATCGGTTGTGACGTAGAGACGATAGCTGGAGTGGTGGATGGTGACTGTTTGCGCTCGGTCGAATTGAGCGCCACCTTGACCACAAATATAGCTGCTCCGAGAATGCCCACCATGAAGACGATAGCGCCGCATATCCAAATGCTGTGTCGGACCCTCCTTCTTCCGAGTGTCGTTGACGAATCAACTGAGGCTGGCGCCGTTTCCTCCGACAGGGGATGGAGCCATGGCGTGGTATTCGACCACACCGTGAACGTCGCGCGGACGTCTGGAGTGATTGAAGAACATGCAACGAGAGAGTCGACACACGCAGGAGCAGGCGAGATGAGCCACCCGTCGGGATCGCAGTCATCTCGGACCTGCAACTCGTTGCCAGACATTGGAACGTGCAATAACCACGCCGCACTTCGTGGTCTACTTTGCCACGGCAAAGGACGAATCGTCACAATGCCAAAAGATGAGTTCAATTGATTTCACCATATAAGGACGTCCAATTGACAAAACCAGAATTCTGTCAAGAACCTGCTTCGCATAAACCAATGAGAAAGGCGGTGCACATGCGAAAATTCGATATAAACGCGATGTTGAATTTCATTATGGGACAACATCACCGAATATCTCACAATTGTCCTACCTGTACGGAATTTATGCGACCTTGACGGCTCAAAATGTCACTACCAGAACGAAGAAGCAGCGATCGACCCAAAATCTCGTCTACCCGAAGAAGTTTTCTCAACAGAAATTGTTGTCCTGGAATATACAGTGCTCACATCGGCGGTTTGATTTCTTCATCGTCGCTCAAGCACTTGGCTCTCCACTCAAACTGCGGTGTTCGGAAAGATGGTTTATCTTGCGTAGAATGATTTTTATGAAGTTCGAGTGTCCGCACGGCGCCAAGATTGAATTGTACGTCACCTCTGTGCAATCAAGATGGTGGTGACGTCCATTTCGACTGGTATTATAGGAAGCACATCCCAAATGTTTTATTGCAGTAAGATCGCCACAACGATTTGAGCGAGCATCTCGCTGATCCATGTGGAGGTCGCTCACAGTCAAGGTGTCCCTGGCGGATAGCCCAAAGTCCAATTTGCTTCCCCTTGTACAATGCGACTGCAATGGTCACTCGTGCGAGGAATTGGCTGGAACTTCGAGATGATGGCGTTTCCCATGGTGCTGCGAGGGGCAGAAACGCCGCTTAGCATACCGCCGACACTTTTTCGCATACCACTTTGAAACGGCGCAAAGTTCGCTGCAGTCATTGCGGTCTTAACTGTAAATTGGGTGGCTTCGAGACTTGTGTGATTCTCGAGTTCGTCGCTTTGCCGAACAACGTAGCACATCTTTCGTTTCCTTGAATGGAGGATACATACGGGTCTGCAATCAGTAGTAACATTTTCTCGGGGCAGTATTTGCTGCCCTGGATGACGGTGCCGTTGTCGAAACCCCGGCGAAGTTGGGCATGCCCATCTCAACAATATCAATATTGCTGTTCTTGTGCGTCACTTGCGACAATCGGAGTAATGTGAAAATAAAAGAATTTTCATCTATAAAAGCTAGCTCGATCATGTTTTACAATGAAAACGATATATCGAATTCTAAAGGTATACCTTTCAAATAAAATGTCGTAGATAATGTATTTGTACAGAATGAAAGTCGCTCCAGCAACTTTTGCACCACTCAGCACCAGAGAAAGCGGATCGTCATGATGCCTGCCCGTCGAGTAGCCCGCTTGGCAGTTGCCCGCGCCGCAGTGGTGTCGAAGAATTCTCCTGTATTGAACAAGCCCTCGCGCTTGTCAGGATTCCCTCGCCGTAACTTCAGTGAATCGGTACTCCTGCTTTGGCTTGTGCAACCGGAGTCCATGACGGCTCGTGGTAGGCGAAGCAGAACCCAGCATCGCATGGAGAAGCTGCTCAAACGGATGCGATTGTGTTGACGCCGTACCAAAAGGTTGCTGCAGGCACTCAAGTTGGCATGTGGACTGCTGCACTTGGTCTGGCCAGCGTGTGCGGCTACTTCATCGTTCGCGAGTTGTTCCCTGGGTACGTCGAAAGTAAAACTTCGTTGCTTCGTAGTCACTGGTCGCGATGTAGGCGCATGAGCCCCAACTCGCTTTTTAGCGAAGCCAGTGACGTGTGTCTCCAGAACGATTTGGTATGGATTGTCGGTGCAGTGCTCCTGCTGTCTCTGATGTCTTGTAGGTGGTCCAACGCTTGGGTCAACCCATTCGATGCTATGGCAAGGACTACGGCAGCCACAAAGAAGGTCGCCGCAACTTCATCGAGCATGTGGAGCTGAAGGATAAGGACGGCAACAAGACTCGATTGCGGTGAGAGTTTCTGCCATCCTTCCCCGTGGTCATTTTATGACGTGGGCGGGATGTAGCATCAAATTCAACATGAAGGGACCCAACGGCAAGGCCGAAGTGTGGGCAGAAGTGAACAAGGACATGCCTGCTGGCGAGTTCGTCTACCTCATCGTGCGAACGTTCACTGGGGAGTTGATCAAGATCCAAGACCAGCGACAGATCTTGCAAGCGGAGTCTGAGGAAGAACGAGAAGCGATGCGCCGCTTGCTTGGGCAATAAGGATTGCAGTGACAACAAAACCGGGGTGTTACCATTGTCCTGCCTTAAAATTTGACTTGTGTTCGAAGGTCGCTGCAATTTGCGCATAAGACGACTTGATCGAGTCAGCCCTCGTTCTATCCGAGAGGACATCGACGTGTCATCGCAACAGGCTTAGGTGCCGCCAAAATCGCCACTCTCGTGAGTTGGTCTTCAGTTGGCGATGGATTCACCAGTGCAATCGCTCGTCCAGTGGACTCAGCATGCGATGATGAGGCACATGGGAACCGGCCACTATGTTGTGGGCCGCCGTGCCGTCGGGATAGAACCCACGTGGCATGGGTTCTTGCTGTCGCAACAGTCGGATCAAGCTTCGAATAGGTGGCAATCTCTGTAGGAATGGCATGCGACGAGTGGCTGCGAGAGCTTCGTCGCTGTTGTTTGCGTACGGGAGAAGGAGGGTTGGAGGTGCCAATGCTGCCTGATCCCCACCTGTCGCATGGCCAAGTTTGAGGCGTCGTAGCTTGCTGTCGCGCTTGCGCTGGTTTGCATTTTGCTTTTCCCGGTGGTACGCGCACAGTGAGTGCAACTTGCCATTCTGTTTGACAGTGCGGCGGTTGCAGCACTTGCCCAACGGGGCGTACATGCACTGGTCCGCGGGATGTGACGGTTTGATCGCGGTGCTACGCTTAGACGGCGGCGACACCGCGATCAAGTCTGTCTCTCGTCGCATGATGCAATCCCCAAATGAGAAATCATTCGTGCTGGAAGCTTGGGCGCTTCTTCGATGGTAACGGACGCAACTCCAATACCTAAATTTAGTGCTTCTGACCTGGACACATTGTTCGCAGTCGTTTCAAGGAAGATGCAATATTCCCAGCCACGTCAGGCAGCAGCCTTCGGGCCAGTTGAGAAACGATCTGCACAGAAAACTCACTACCTTGACTCGTGCTGCAGCCCAAAAGCCCCATCTCGTGCTTCGGCATCAATAGAGTGTGGGGACTACATCTCGTCATCGCATGCATTAGGTTAGACCAGTGCTGCTCCTTGGTGTGTCCATTCCCTTCACCGCTGCTTAGTCGGTGCGACGGCTGGCCAGCAAGAGCTGCTTCTTCATGGATTGGAAGGCCATGAGCATCCAGTAAATCGTAAAAGTCAGGGCGCTGATCCACCAGTTGCGCTCCGAGCGCCAACGCGTCGCGCGGTGTTGCAAGTCGGCTTCGTAGTGCTTTTCAATCCCAGTTATCTGGTAGTTGTAGCGTTTCTGGAGATCGTACGTTTGGCCTGTGCACATGATGACTTGTTGTGACAATGACCCGGGCGACAAACTACCTGCCAGGGCCACGAACGCAAGCCCTGTGATGACCGAAAATACTGGGATGCTAGCAATGTGGAAGTTCAAAATGAACTCGTTCATGCGCACCACCCCCTTGGCGACAGGCCTCGGGAACGGAATCGTGAGGAGAATGAGCCTACCATACACGTGAGCACTTGAACGGGTGACATATGCGTCCTACAAGATCACAGCGGGGGGAAGCAGCACATACGCCCATGCGGCCCAAATCGTCATTGTAGTCATCTCCTGGTGGAATCGTTAAAAGTCGAAGTGGGGCAAACTTCCCGGCACTTGGTGGTTGCATCCAATGCACAAAGCAGCTGCCAAACTGCCCGACAGCGTCCAACGGTCCTCTCAACGACCATTGCCATGTCCCACGACCCCCCTTTTTAACGATGTGTTGTGAGAAATGGTATTCGTGTAGTCATTTCCTGTGTGCTGCTGGCACGGAACCGTGAGCTTTAGTGCGGCCATGCCAGCAGCAGTGATGAACTCGCTCTGTTGATCCTTTCATCGCTTTATGATGCCGTCGAGTGACGAGAAAGTTACAATTTCGATTGTTGTAATTGATGGCAACATAGAGATTAAAGTTATGAAATATGCACGATTAGTCAGCGCGACGATTGACGGCAAGGAGCTGTTTTTTCATGGACTGGAAGGCCATGAGCATCCAGTAAATCGTAAAAGTCAGGGCGCTGATCCACCAGTTGCGCTCCGAGCGCCAGCGACTCGCTTTTTGCTGCAAGTCGGCTTCGTAGTGCTTTTCGATACCTGGAATAGTTTTGGTGTAGCGTTTTTGGAGGTCATACGTTTGGCCTATACCCGGATAACGCGGTGTCATCCAAAGAGAAATGCATGAAGCAACCATACCTGCTAGCGCAATAAAGGCGAAGAACGTGATGATGGATATGATGGGAATGCCTCCCAGTTCCAAGGAGAACAAGAATTCGTTCATTCGAACGATACCCTTGGCGATGAACTTGGGGAACGGAATCGTGAGAAGGAGGAGCCTACGTAGAAGAGACTGGTCAGGGACGTTCCTTCCATGGGTGGGGTCGTACAGCACAACTGCAGGAGGCAGCAAGACGTAGGCCCACGTTGCCCACATCGTCATGGTGACGTAGGGGAAAAGGATGAAATTCGACTATGTCGCCGGACGGCGTTTTTGCACTGGAGGAGCCGTCATTCTGAAACTACCAACATTCTGTAATTGAATTCACCACGCGGCACCGTTAAATTGGGGTGCTCCGAGGCAACAGCGCGATGCACGGATGCCCTGTCGCTTCAGTACCTCCATAATCTCTCTGTGTGCCACGACTTAAGAGAGTTTACCCATGCCAAGGAACCGGAGGCTATACTAATGAGCAACGTTCGCGGATGATGAGATCGCCTGTGGATTTCTTCACTCACGGAGACGAGTTTAGCTGCATCGAATGAATTGGCCACGACATTTGACAAGTTCTCCACAGCCGCGTCGTCCAGACGGAATGGGCTCGTGGACCTCAAGACTCCAAACGTGTGAGGCACGTTACAAGCTTTGATCCAGCGCACATTCACCCACACAAGCGGACAGCCCATACTGACATTTTGCCTACTCATACCATGCCTTCATGCTTCCAGCACTAGTATTTTTCAGGACGAAATCGTGATACCAAACACTAGGAGGTATCAGCCAACAGCAATGCGGACCTCAGTCTCATGAGCCTCTGCAAGGTTGGTTGATCGTTGGCTTCGAGCGCCTTTGGCACAATTTACGCTCTAGGTTCGACTCCAGCTCCATTTGGTCTAGGATATTGCATGAGGTGGTCATAAAGGCAATGGAGAGAAGTTGTCCTTGACATCTTTGTTCGCTCTTGCGCCTGGACAGCGCGGCGTCGCCCCCAATTCTATCACGGAAGAAAGTCAATGGCAGTCTCATTGCAATGACACACCCAAGGCCATCGCCGGCAAACTTCAACTGCATCTGTCGCATTTATCTTCTGGAACGTTCTAGCAGGGCAAATCCCGCAATCATTTTCAGCCAATCCCAATGCATCGCTTCAAAACTCCACCAATCACATCGTCGTATATGGTTGACGCTCAACATCGCCCTTCGATTGGTCGAATTCATCAGTGGTGCGGGCTGTGGACGACCATACAGGGCACGATACAGTACAACATCATACGTAAAATTTACTTGCAAAATGAATTGAAAATCCATGGATTTGCGTACAACCCGTACGTTCTGTACGGAAGTCCATGGTTGTTTCCAGCCACATCTCCTCCCGTTGGAAATTTGACGCATTTGCGAATTCTACCAGAAGTTCCGTCATGTTGCGCACAACTACCAAGGTACTGAAGCCCGCTGCCTCGAACGTGCGCGCCTTCTCGGCCGCCAGTGGCGCCGAAGTTATTGGGATCGATTTGGGTACCACCAACTCGTGCGTGGCGGTGATGGAAGGCAAGAACCCCCGTGTGATTGAAAACTCGGAAGGTTCCCGCACCACCCCTTCCGTGGTTGCTATCTTGGAAAACGGCGAACGCCTGGTTGGTATGCCTGCCAAGCGCCAAGCTGTCACGAACCCGTTCAACACGTTGTACGCCGTCAAGCGTTTGATCGGCCGCAAGTACCAAGACAAGGAAACCCAAGATGTGTCCAAGGTCGTTTCGTACAAGATTGTTGCCGGCCCCAACGGCACGGATGCCTGGGTCGAAGCTCAAGGCCAAAAGTACTCGCCTTCGCAGATTGGGTCCATGGTGCTGACCAAGATGAAGGAAACCGCTGAAGGTTTCCTCGGCAAGACGATTACCCAAGCTGTCGTCACCGTCCCTGCCTACTTCAACGACTCGCAACGTCAAGCCACCAAGGATGCTGGTAAGATTGCCGGTTTGGACGTTTTGCGTATCATCAACGAACCTACCGCTGCCGCATTGGCGTACGGTTTGGACAAGGCCGATGGCAAGGTGATTGCTGTCTTCGATTTGGGTGGTGGTACCTTCGATGTGTCGATTTTGGAAATCTCGGGCGGTGTGTTCGAGGTGAAGTCGACGAACGGTGACACCTTGCTCGGTGGGGAAGATTTCGACGAAGAATTGTTGCGCCACTTAGTATCTGAATTCAAGCGCGAATCTGGCATCGACCTGAGCGGCGACGGCCTCGCCATGCAACGTTTGCGTGAAGCCGCCGAAAAGGCCAAGCGTGAATTGGATGGTTTGGCCCAAACCGATGTGAGCTTGCCTTTCATCACGGCCGACGCGACCGGTCCCAAGCACTTGAACATCAAGATCACCCGCGCCCAATTCGAAAAATTGGTCGGACACTTGATCGAACGCACATTGAACCCGTGCAAGAAGTGCGTCAAGGACGCCGGCGTGACCAAGGAAGAAATCAACGAAGTCATTTTGGTCGGTGGTATGTCGCGCATGCCCAAGGTCCAAACCAGCGTGGAAGAATTCTTTGGCAAGCGCCCCAGCAAGGGTGTGAACCCCGATGAAGTCGTCGCGATGGGTGCTGCCATCCAGGGCGGTGTGCTTCGCGGCGACGTCAAGGACATTTTGTTGTTGGACGTGACGCCTTTGAGTTTGGGGATTGAAACGTTGGGGGGTGTCTTTACCAAGTTGATTCCCCGCAACACGACGATCCCGACCAAGAAGTCGCAAGTGTTTTCGACAGCGTCCGACAACCAAACCCAAGTCGGCATCAAGGTGTTGCAAGGCGAACGTGAAATGGCCGCTGACAACAAGCTCCTCGGTAACTTTGATTTGCAAAACATCCCCCCTGCCCCCCGCGGCATTCCCCAAATCGAAGTCAGTTTCGACATCGACGCGAATGGTATTGTGAACGTGGGTGCTCGTGACAAGGCCACTGGCAAGGAACAAAGCATTGTGATTCAATCGAGCGGCGGTCTCTCCGAAGATGAAATCGAACGCATGGTCCGTGAAGCTGAATTGAATGCGGAAGCCGACGCCAAGCGCAAGGAACTGATTGAAGCCAAGAACGAAGCCGACTCGTTGGTGTACACGACCGAAAAGACGTTGACTGAACACGAAGCCAAGCTCGACGCGGCGTTGGTGGACTCGGTCAAGGCCAGCTTGCAAGGCGTGCGCGACGCGATCGAAAAGGACGACCTGGAAACCCTTAAGGCGGCCTTGGAAGAGTTGAACAAGACCAGCATGAAGATTGGCGAAGCTATCTACAAGCAAGGCAACACTGCGGATGCTGGCGAAGACAAGAAGGACGACAAGGAAGATGTCCATGATGCCGAATTCAAGGACAAGAAGCCTTAAATCCCGTATTTTAACACATTCACACAATAGAGTTGTATATAAGTTTCGCGACACTACGGAGAATACACTCGCACAGTAACGCCGTCATGAGGCGCATGGAACAACTAGTCTGGCACGTGGCAATGTACTTGCGCACTTATCGACAGTGAACAGAAGGAAGGCACAAGTGCAAGAACGTTATTGCGAAAGCAACCTACTAACGACAGGCTCAACATCTTATTCGACAAAAAGAGACCATCGTGCTGGACGTGGTCGCTATCGTGGACTCCCACCGATGCAAGGCCCATCGCGCTTCGACGACAGCGGCGGGCCTGCACGATGCATCAAGAATTATTGGCGCGTGGCGTCGACATCAATCGCGCCACGCGATTGGCTACGTGATGATCCTTTTCGATGTTTGATTGGTTGAAAAATCGAATTCGATGTTGAAGCCACTCTCAAATTTGGCGGACGGTCCATCATCACACGGCCACCGCGCACGTTGCTCCTTCCTCACGCCCGACGAGGTAGACCCAAGGCACGTGAAGATGAACACGTCAGTCCATGTGTGTATCCGCGTTCGTCCTCTGCACCCTATGGAACGAATCGACGACGACTACCTCTGCGTAAAAGCTCATGAAAACCACGTGACCATCGCAAGCCAGACGTTTGCATTCGATCATGTGTTCGGTCCCGATTCCCAGCACGAAGACATTTGGCCTTGTGTGATCCCCTTGATTGACTCGGTGTTCAATGGATACAATGCGACGATTATTGCATACGGCCAGGCAGGTACTGGAAAAACGTTCACGATGGGATGTTCGCATAGTTCGTTTGTGGCCTCTCCAAAGGAGCGCGGGATCCTACCTCGCGCTCTTCATGACGTGTTCTCTCGTATCGCTGCCAAGGCCTTGGACGTTCATGGGTATCACACAAAAGTAACCTTGCGCTTTTTCGAAATCTACCGAGACGAGGTGTGGGATTTATTGTCCCAGGCAGAAGCGTATAACACGACGTCTCACGCGTTCACATTGGAAAACGCCAAGCATAACCGAGCCCATGATGCGTGTGAAATTGAAGTGTACTCTGCTGATGAGTGCATTGCATTACTCGACAAGGGGACATACTTTCGGACGACAGGATTGAACAACGAGTCCAGCCGATCGCACGCCTTCTTTGCGCTGACTATGCACGAGTACGTCCCAGCCAACTCAAGGCACATCAAGGACAAACTCGAAGGCTCCGTTGTGGAATACGACGTGCGCAGCTGCACCTTCAGCTTCGTTGATTTGGCTGGATCTCAAGCGCACCTCCAAACCTACGTGCATGACTACAACTTCCTCGATTCCGCCAAGGACCTCTCGGTCCTTCGGAATGTGATCAACGCGCTGGCAGACGAAGCGGCGCAAGGTCGGGCCCATATCCCATATCATGACTCCGCATTGACATGCGCACTGCAGGATGCACTGGGTACGTTTCGCTAATTTAATGGTCGCAGCGTGTACTCTCAGCCTGTTTGTGCAGGAGGGAATTGCATGACCTTGGTAATCTTTTGTGTGAGTCCCGCGGGCAAGGACATTGCCGAGACAAAACGTTCGTTGTGCCTCGCAAATCGAGCGCGTCACATTCGAAACAAACCCCTGGTCAACCAAGCGGTGAATGTTTTCGACGGTCTGCGCCAACAGGAACTTGGGATTGGGCAGGTGGCTTTGGGTGGTCGAGCTGAAGACGCAAATATAACACTGAGTGAAAAGATGACGGTTCAGTGTGGAGGCGAAGATGTGGACATGATTCAAGGGCACATACGGGCTATAGAAGCTCTTCATCAAGCAAAACACGACCGCACCAATTCGCGCAATCGGCCTTTGGGGACACTGTCAAGCGCTGAGGGTGGAATGTGTTCAGGCGATGTTGGGCAAGAAGACTGGAGAATTATGGACGGAGAGGCCGCGGACGCCAAGCTCGACGACGAATTGCTCATGCTGATGATGGCAATGGAAATCAACGTCAACACACAACCACAACTTGCGCCTAGTTGGATTGCTGTCTCTATGGACGATTCTGAAGATGAATCATTGCCAAATGCGGTCTGTCAAGATATGACGCACAAAAGGGCTGCCGGTCAAGGCCATGCAATGACGGTTCCATCTGCCTGCTCCTCAGACTTGCTCCAGCCTGGGTGCCATCAACTGAACTCGACCTGTGCTACAAGTCTTGGCCGTGTTTGTCCTACCAACAACAGGAGGGCTGCAGAGCATCCCGTCACGCTGAGCGGGGCTTGGAAGCAAGAGGAGCTACCCGAGGAGCAGACCACACCGCAGAAACAGGCTTCGAATCGCATTGAACGTGAACAAGCTCTAACGTTGAACGAGATTGTACAAACCTTAACCAGCCCCAGGACACTCAACAAGAGAATGCTTCAAAAACTGCACCGAAATACAAAGAAGTGCGAGGACATGCGCGAACTATTTGAAGCAATGGCAAGGGCCTTGGACGAAAATGAGCGCTCCCTTGTTGAAGAGCAAAACAATCTATTGGAGAAACTGGACAAGATGCAGTGTCCAGCAAACGACCCACGGCACATTCAACTCTTATTGAAGCTCCAAGTCAAAGACGGCGAGCTGACTGACCTGCGCAAAAAACAGGACGACTTGAAGCGGTTTGAAAACGTCAAACGCAAAAGTGGCATTTTACTAGCAAAGTACCGGCTGTGCTGCCCCACACTCCCATGCCTAGAGTAGCGACTCCACTGCGAAAGCTCGAGCTGTTGGGTTCAAATACATGCATGCCCTCTGCCGATGGCTCTGTGTCAAAAAGCGCTTGTTTTCACTTCGATGGAAATCCAACAGGTCAAGTCGCAATCACCCACTCGCCTCCTCGGCTGCCACAACCGCAGTTGCGATACTGGCGCACAAACAGGGCAGCGAGTTGCGTGCTTCACGAGGAGGAAGGAAGGTCCCATGATGGCCCAAGTCAGTTCGCATGGAAGAAATTTCCTGGAGGAAGAAACTTCCTGAATCTGTGTGGTAAGTCTCATTTTAGAATATGACTTTTCGACAACAAGATGACGACAACCACCTCAAGACGCATTGCGAAAAGCTTCGTGTCGGCTGCCCAGCAAGAAGGCGTCGGTGCAACCGTGAGACGATCGATCGGCCACCCCTTGCTCCGGCGCCTGGATCCGTTCCTGATGCTGGATGAATTCCACGTCGCCCTGCCGGGGGGATTCCCCGACCACTCTCATCGAGGCTTTGAAACGATTACATACTTGCTCCCACACTCCCCCTGGAAGATGCTCCACGAAGACTTTTGTGGTCATAAAGGCGAGCTTGCCCCTGGTGTCCTCCAGTGGATGTGCCCTGGGCGTGACATTGAGCACGCTGAAATGCCAGCGAGTTGCGACGCCCCTGCCATCGGCCTTCAGCTGTGGCTCAACTTGCCAGCGCATAAAAAGATGATAGACCCCAAGTACCAAGAGATTCCCGCAGCAAAGTTTGCCAAGGGTGCGACAAGGCAATGTCGAGGCGATTGTGATCGCTGGCGAAGCCATGGGGGAACAGGCCAACGTGTTTACGAATGTCCCGATCTCCTATGTGCATTTTACACTCACCGGCTCATCCACGCACTTCCATCCGATCCCCACCGATCACAATTCGTTTGTATATGTCATCTCTGGGTCGGGCCGCATTGGTGGGGACTCTGTCGAGGCGCATTCCGTGATCCTACTCACGGCAGATGAAGGCCAGCACGGCATCACGTTGGAAACGAACGGGGAAGAATTGCAGTGCGTGGTGTTGTCGGGGGAGCCCATCCGCGAACCGATAGAGCAATACGGACCATTCGTCATGACGACGCGGGCGGAACTCCAGCAAACGGTCCAAGACTTCCAGCTCGGGCACAACGGGTTTGAACAAGCGAAGGCGTGGCGGTCCCAGATTGCTCAGTTGGCGCACATGCGTTGGCAAAGTCATGTTAATTCCATTTCGTTTGCATTGTGAATCGAAACGACGGTGCGAGTGTTCGAAACCGCCAGCCAATTCCAACGACGACGTGAACGATGGCGTCGCCCGGCGTGACGTTGGAAGAGCTCGTGCCGGAGGTGGCTCATGTCTTCGCGATCCAAGAGTCGGCCTTGATGAACTGCATGTCGATTCTGACGACGACCATTTCGCGCCAGGAGGAAGAGAACAAGGCGAAAGCGACTGCAGCCGACATCGTCCAGCTGCGCGGGGATGTGAAAAAGGCTGCCGAGGTGGCCACCGAATTCAAAAAGACGATCCAGCGACTGGAAAAGATGCACGAGAGATTGCTTGCTGAGCTCCACGAACTGCGCCAGGAAAACGCTGCAAAGGACGCAGCGGTGGCAACGCTCGAGCGCCAGCACGAACAACACTTGATCGCGTACGAACAGCACTTGGAGGAACTCGACCGACGGTTTGACTATGTGTCCCGTATCAAGGCCGAGCAGAAAGAGGTCGCGCGGAGACTCGAGATGCAAGAGAGGAGTTACGCGGAGCTCAAGTTTGGCATGGCGATGCTGTCCAAGTCGATTGGCGACGACAATGGCGAGGTGTCTTCAATTGTTCCCCTGGTGCCGTTGGTTCCTGTGATCGGCCGCACCAGCCCCGAGCATCGATCCATGAAGCACATCATGTCTGTGGCCCACATGAACTCTCGACGGCCGACGTTGGCGACCGTCGCTGCGTTCACTGCTGCGAATCAAGGCAATGTTGTCATCGACTTGAATGACGAGTTCGATGAGCCAGTGATAAAAGCCATGTCGAGAAAATCCTCAGCCACCGACCATGACGCGAGCGAGCGCGGTAGCCACACGGACCGATCCGACATGACTGTGATGGTCGACGTGACGGCGGCAGTGCTTGCCAGACAAGGCTCGACGCTCTTGAATAAGTCGTCTAGCAAACCAAGGTCGACGCCAAGCTCTGCAGTCCTGGCACGACGCCCAACCATCGCGAGATCCGCTCCTCAAACCAGCGCAATCGGGGAATCCAACGCAACTCCAGTGCTTGGAGCACGTATCGTTGGCCCAAGTTTAGACACGTCGGAGAAACTTGACGACTCTGTTCTTTTGCATCAAGCGACTCAATCCCTCCTCGCGCCAATCGTGCAAAGTCCCCCCGCCTTGTCGACGCAGGATCAAGTCGAAGCAATGGCGCCTGCTCGAACCGGTGTAGCCGACCACAACGAAGTTCGAGCTCCACTCGAGACCGAGTCGCAACAAGAAGGTGAGAGATCTTCCGATGCATGAGTTGGAAGCGATGTTGAAATCACGGGCAGTGGAGGCCACAGCTCTCGCGACATCAACTTCTCTTGACGCTACGATCGGGACACTGGCAGTGGAGGCAGTAGCCACAGGAGAGGCAGGCGAGCAGCAACGCAAAGACTCGATTCTTCTTGTGCATGCACCGATAGACTTGAATCCTCCATCGGCCCTTATTGTCCAAGAAGGACCTCTTCGCCCTGCTCCAGCGATTCGAGATGCTGAGACTATGATGCACACTCGTCTTTCCACCCAACCGTCGACAAGCGAACGGAGCAGTCCACTTCTACTGCCCGAAGTCGCATCACCACGTAAGGCCAGCGTCACAGCTGGGCCGCCCCTGGCACAACTCGATCCAGCCATGAACGAGTCCCAAATCGTTCCAATGCCAGCTGCGGAGCCTACGGACTTTTTCGAGAAGGCGGCCAATCCCGTAAAGCAGCGATCGGTCAAACAATTGGCCGCACCAACTGCGCCGGTCATCCAAACCAACTTGGAACGAACATTGACGATGGCACTTCCCCAAAGCAATCACTCTTTCGTCGCAGAGAAATCTACGAGTCAAGCGAGTGTCGCTGCGGACCCACTTCCTCCCCCAGCAGACAGCGACTATACCAGCGTGTCCGAATCGTGTCATGGTAGCTTGGCATGTTTGTTTCAACGCTTCACGGTCTCATATGTGGTGGTGGTGCATCCAGAGGCTGCCATGATCCGATCCCACGCAGAGTACCGCTACTTGTGGCACTGGGCGTACTCGAACATCAAGGCGCTCTGTCGCATGCATGTACTGTGCCTCCAAACGAGTGGTTGTGACGTGAGATTGATGCGACTGCAACATGATCAGGGCAAACAAAATGTCGAGCAGCTCCTGTCGGGCGCGAAAAAGGACACAGTCGGGTCTCGAGTGCGTCAAATCGAAGATGCGATGGATGCTGTCCACCAACACCTTCAGCACCTGCGCGACAAGGTCGACGGCCTCAACACGATGCAAACCGACCTGGCCAAACTCCACCAGGGCACGACGGCGCTGGCCGACCAAGTGATCGATCTGCGGGGCGTGTGCAACCAAGTCGAAACCAACACGGTCGAGGTCAAAGCCCAGCTCCTCCACCTCGAGCGCGTCGTCCATGATTTTGAGCAAAGGTGCGCTGTGACATCGAAGCATGGTCCCGTTCCAACAATTTCCCATTTCGTGTAGCTTCGTGGCATCGCTGCATGGGCCCAGTCCAAACTCCGATTCCCCACGCCCGATCGAACCGGCGGTGCCTGTCGCTGCTTTTGACGCCCTCCAAGCACAGGTCACCATGTTGGGTATGGCGGGCCGTGCTGCCACTCAGACCATCAAACGCTCTCTCTTGAGTAGAGACCTCGCTCGGTCGGTTGGACGCTTTCATGGCGTCCTGTGCGTCTGCCGACACTGCGACCAAGATGAAATTGCAAGCGATCGAGTCCACCCAAACGACCCATGCGCAAGTGATGGAAAAGGAGCTCGGTAAACTCGCTGAGGACAACCGAAAGAAAGCCACCGACCACAAGCGTGACCTTGACGACCTCGCGGCGTGCGTGAATGCTGCCGTGGATCGGCTGTACGTGTGGGTACATTTCGTGACCGACGCCATCCATCTCGCTTGCTCCCCCGACGCCCCGACGGACTCGACAACGTATCAAAGTAAGCCATCGTGCCCTTCATCACGACACATGCACACTCCATTGTCAAACGACTTCATGTATGGCTAGCACTCATGTCAACGTTTCGGTCCAAGTATGCCGCTCTTGGAGCGAAGCTGCTTACGTCAAAGATGCACAGTCCCAACTCTGCGACGGACACCGCCATTGCAGCCGTGTGCCGTCACGTCGATGGTATATGAACATTATGAGCGCTTCCGTCGGTCGATGGCTGGGGGTGACCCAGCTGGATTGAATCGTGAGGTCTCATGCGCGCATCGCTGTCATTTTTAGCCATGGCCGACGCGAACGATCGAGACGTCGACAAGTGCATGCGTTCCGGCATGCAGGCACTTGCTTTGTTGCTGGACAACTTGGTTGCAAGTGTCGCTGTTGACAGGACTGGGGATGGCCGCAGCGTGCTGCCGCTCGTTCGGCTCGTGCGTGAATCGATCGTCGAAGCCAAAGCACTCGCGTGTATCGGTGTCCTGTTTGGACGATTTGGTCGCGTCCAGGTGACAGCAAACGCGCTGGCGACTGCTCTAGACGGTACGCTAGCCCCTCGCCGCGCTGACACTACACATGCGCATGGTGGATGGACGAGCCACGGCATGATGCGATCGTGTGGTTGCACAGACACAAAGGGCGCCGTGGGTCGCCAGGCCAAGGAAATCCAAGACCTCAACCTGTTGCACACTGTTGCCAAAGCACTGACGACCAAGGTCGACTACGTTTTCAATAACACCCAGGTACGAATCGCGCGTTCGAGAGAGCTCGTTTGTTGTCACTCGCGACCACAGATGATGATCGTGGAGGACGATTTGAAGAAGGCTGTCGCGCGGTTAACAGATGAAAGAGAACAACTTCGCGTGGACCTGGACGCGAGCATCAAGCAATTAGTCGCGGCGTCCAGTGAGCTAGAAATGACCTTGGGGCGGGAGGTGGGGTGGCAAGACAATGCAAGCCTCGCCATCTCATGGGTTGTACGCAGATGACGGCGCTGGCAAGTCGGTTGCACACAAAGGTTGACCGCGCCGAGGTCGGGATGGCCCATCAAACCATGCAAGACGGTATGGTATATGAAAGATACCTCGATTCTTTCAAGGTCGAGTCTAGAAATCGAGCGGTTGGCGAACAGCGTTGTCTCCCACGATGAATTTGTCGTCCTGGCAGAACGTCTCAAGCGGAAGCCCGACGCGAATGACATTCGGGCTTACGTGCGGCAAAAGATCTCGTCGCTTAAGCTGGCGCAGACCGACACCAACTCGGATGCGCCGCTCCTGGGGTCAGTGCCCGTGCGATGCATGTCGTGCCAAAACGTCGTCGAAGCCAAGGTGCAACCTGCGGCGTCGCACGAGGCCAAGCAACGCGAGGTGCTTCCGTTCACGACGTCGTCCATGCGCCATGTGCAAAAACACAAGTTGGATGCCATGATGAAGGCCAAGGCTAGTCCAAAGTAGGAGAACTGTGAGGGCAGGTGCGCTTTTGCACAAACTCTTCGAGACGCAATAAAGCGATACGTGGCAATTACGAACTCCATCGCTTGATCGTGCGGGATGTGTGCGCTGGCATCTTGTCCGAGTGTCGCCCCCAACGACTCCACGAAAAACCGCAACCCACATCCAGCAGAACACTGCACTGTGCCAGACGGCATTGGTTAACGTAAGGACGCGGTCCACGCAGCGCCAGGGATGCTTCGAGAGCCATCGACGCATGAGCAGCGGACTCTGCATGTACCTCCATGTTGCCTTTGACCACATGCGGTGGGTTCGCCATGCTGATTGGTTCAATTCGATTGGCTCGTCAATCCAACCCGACCAAGACATGCAGGACGCGCCGCTGCCGCCACGCGGCCATGTCCCTCTGAGGTACGTACATGTGGGCCGACCAATGGATCCTGAAGCATGGGGTGCCTCGACGCAGAGACAAACGCCGTCCGTCGGAGGTGCTGGTTGCGGAAGATCCGTCCATTGAACTCGTTTGTGCGACAACGCGGTCGACATCGGTCGATGTGTCCAAGCTGCAGGCAGCGTTGTTGTCCCTTCCAGAAGACCGATGGTCGGAAGAGTACCAGACAAAACACAACGTGTCCTTGCGCCGTCCATTCCACGACAAAGTCGGCGTGAACAAGATCATTTGCATCTTTTCCGACAATCACCTTGAGCACGTGTACATGCTCCCAGAGTGGACGCATTGGCAGCCGCTCGTTGCGCCGATCTTCGAGCATCTTCAGATCCCTCTTGACCGAGTCGTTCGCTGCCTCTTTGCGCGCATGCCACCCAAGACGTTGATTCCGCCGCATCACGACAACGGGCCGTGGGTAGCGCGCACCCATCGCATCCACGTGCCGCTGGTCACGTATCCAGAGGTTTTGCATCTCCATCACGGGAGCTTTCAATGAAAAGAAACCTGTGTCCAATTAGGTCGAATTCAAGAGCGGCCGCGATGAAGCGTCCATGGAGCGCTACGCTTTCAACGTCGGCACCGTTGTCGAACTCAACAATGCAGCCAAGCATAGCGTATACAACGGCGCGTCTGACTGGCGGATCCACATGATCTTTGATGTGCTGGCAGATCCATCCGAGGCTGTAGACGGCGCCGCTTCCACGGCGCCCATCGTCTCGTACGTCCGACGCCTCTCTCGTATGTTGTCAATGGTGTGTGAACAGGACGCTGCAAGCGGGCCAGCTTTGCCGCCAAGTGCGCGGCCGCGTCGAGCTCGTGACTGAGCTAGACCAAACGTCGACGGAAGCAGCGACAAAAGTGGCAGGCGAGCTGCTCGTGCAACTCAAGAAACGCCTAAGCCGAGAGGTACACTGGATCGCTGTGGTGCAATTTTCTCGGTTGATGGCGAATGATCATTAGCATGGCGAAGCGTTGGCGACGGGCATTCGGCACTTTTTCATTGAACAAATTACTGCAGTGGAATTCGTGGATGTCGTGCGATACAACAGTCCAGACTCCATGCACGCCGACGTGCTCCAATTGCTCGAGACAGTCGACCCCGTTATGGCGAAGGAGGCGGCAGATGCGCTGGCAAGTTCCACAGACAGCTCCTTCGGTCCATCGTACTGCATTTTGGGGGCGCAGAAGTGCGGCACGACGTCGCTTTTTCGCCAGTTGGGGTAATATCCATCGCCGGCAGTAGCTGCCTCAACGTGATTTATAGTCAGCATCCTCGAGTGTTGAATGGAAAGCGGCGCGAACCTCATTTTTTTGACTGGATGTGGGGCCAAGCGCTGGCTCTGCGCGTCCCGCCCACGGCGCCGACGCAGGTCCTCTGCGATCGCTTGTTGAAGCATTTTGCATTCCTTCCCAACGGCGCGGTGGATGGCACGACCGCCCATGACATGCGGTAGCAGCTCAAACCGTGCTTTACACCGACACCTCCTCTCTCTCATGACATGTTGCTTGGGCTTTTCCAATAGATGCAAGTACTTGATGTCGCTACAGGCCCCGCTGGAGACGTTCGACCCGCTCACGATGCTCTTGGCGGACTCGACGCCCAGCTACTTATTATACGGCTCCCCCGTCGCGCAGCGCATGCGCCAGTTGCTCCCGTCCACTCGTTTCATTGTCGTGTTGCGCAACCCGATTCAGCGCGCGTACTCGCAATACCACATGACAGCCGACCCGCACGGCACGCCACACCAGCTCGCGATGCGCAAAGCTGTGCAAGGCAAATCTTTTCAAGACGTCGTCGACGAAGACCTGCGGCGGCTCCAGGTATATCCCAACCACAACCCGTCACTGCGATGCTATCATTGCTCGCATCTAGGGGGTCCAAGCAGCTCCAACTTCGCTGGAAGCGTTCCAGGCGTACGCTGACGCCCTCCCGCAGGACCACGGGTCGCACTCGTACCTTGGCCGCGGGTTGTACGCGCTACAGCTCCGCATTTGGTTCCAACACTTTCCCCGCGACCAATTTCTCGTTTTGAACGTCGATGCCATGGACACTCCCGAAGCCACACAGGTGCGCGCTGACTTCTACCAAGTTATCTTGCCATCTTTGACCGCACCGCTTGCTAGACGACGCTCCATCACGTGTGCCAATTCCTGCGGCTCCCGCCCTTCACCCTCCAGGACTCGGCGCGGCAAAACACGCGTGCGTATGCCCCCATGGACGATGCCATCCGCGACAGCTTGCGTGCGTTCTATGCGCCGTACAATGCCATGTTGCACGACCTCCTTCCCGACTTTGCCTTTTCGTGGTCGTAAATAGACGCGATTCATTTGGTCGTTCTACGATTTGCCGCCGCCGCCCGTGCCAGGCGGGCACTTGTACTCGGGCGGAAGTAGGTAATTCTGCCACGCATTGAACGCATACTGCGCCGTCCCGATGTTCTTGCGAGCATTTTCACGCCGCACGCCGTACGTCCGCAGCAGCTGTGTCCATTCCGCAATGCGCTGGCTGTCGCTGTTGTCCGTGTCGCGGTCGATGGCGAGCCGCACGGACGCGCTGGGACAGCTCCGTGCGCGTTCGACCATCCACGTCGCCTCTTCCAGGGTCACCGACATGGCCGTCCGGTCTTTCCCGCTCTTGCAGCACGTCACACGACCGCCACCCACGTGCCGGGCGATCCACGATGTTGTGGCGACGATATCCATCACTTTTTCAGGTTTCGCTTGCTCAATCTTGGCTTTCACTGTGGCCCACATCGCCATGATCGACGGTGGCGCCGAGATCGCCTCCAAATACGCTTCAAACAACCGACTGCTTTCGACATTGATGTCTTCTTGGAGCTGACTGCGCCCAACTTTATTTGCCACGGTCTGTACTTCGTTCATGCCTTGATTGAAGAGCACGGGAACCACGTGGATGTTCAATGACAATCCCGACGGAAGGTCGACGAAAGGAGGCTTGTACACCGCTCCAGACGCGCGGTCTTGACCAGGGATGCGGTGTGCACTTGGCAATGGCGACGTGGAGGCGTCGCCAAAAATGATCGGTAGCGAAATGACGAGGCCGTTCGGGCCGTGAGGCGTGATTTGAACATCAACGGATGTCGCTGGCGGCACCGCATGCACCTGGATCGTCACGTGCGCCAAAGCCTTGACCGCTGCATCCATGTCTCCGAGCATTCCCGCCTCCGCCCCCACCGTACTCAGCAACGACTCGACGCTGAAGAGAAAGCCATGCTCTTGCAATTGCTTCAAGTACAGGGCCGGAGTCCGTGGCACGAACGGCGATGCATCGGACGAGTTGTGCATGTGAACGTAGAGTGTCTGTTGAAACGACGTGACGAGGGCGGTCAAAGCTTGGCTGAACGCCACGTCGAGGCGCTGGTCAATGTGCCACTCCAACGCGTGCATGTCTCGCTGCAGGACGGCTAAATCCGCGCCAATCGCTTGAGTCGACAAGTCCCGCAGTCTGCAGCCGCACGCAGATCAACCCACAGACTTCGAGAGGACACAAGGAAGCTTACCGTTCCCAGTTCTCGCGTAGCTGGCGAATCCCTCCTTGACTAAACCCGTACACGTGGGCTGCAAACGCCCCCACCGTGACGGTGCCGAACAAATGGTGGTACGCAAATGGAGGCTGATTTGTGTCGAGCATGGGGGTCGGCTCGTCCCATCCGGCCTCGGTTGCTTCAACGGGTTCTGGCACCATGGAGCCCAGGGTCAACAGTTGTGCGTGGAGATTCAATGCGACAAAGCGCAGCTCGGGGTCCGCTTTCTTTGTGCTGGGCTTGAACGTGTGGCACCGCGGGGTCGTGTCGTGCGCATACGTGAGGAGCGCCGCCTCGACGTCAGTCATGTACTTTTCCATGCACTGGATCATCTCGACGCGCCACTTGTGGTTGGTTCGGTTCCGTTTATTGCCCTGCAGGTGATAAATCATGTCGCTGAGCAAACTGCGGTTGTCGTCGGATGGAGTCGACTTGGCCGATGACGAAGTCTCCACCTCAGCGGCCGACCTCAATTGGTTGAGCTTCTCGGTCAAATCCACCAAGATAACTTGCAACAGTTGAAAGGGAATCGACCACGTAAAGGGGCTCTCGACCAGCTCTTCTTCAGCCATCCATCCAACCTCTTGCCACCCAAATGCCCGCGTCATGCGCTGGGACGTTGGCTCGATGGTAGAATATGCCTCGCATCGAGCGACGAGCAGTCGGTTGCTCAAAGACGGATGGATCGGGTCCCATGGACTGTGCTCCAAAGCCCCATCATCAAGTCGAAACGATTGCGCGCGGCCGGGAACAAGCGACTGCAGATCGCGCAGAACCACCTCGCCTAGGAGTTGCGGCGCCGAATCTTTCAACGCAGACGCGCTACGGACAGCATAGACCTGCAATCGAATGACGTCACCTCGTCGTGGAACGTTCAAGAGGACATGGTAGATAGGGCTCTCTCCAAGGCATACATCCGTTCGTGCAATCTAATAGACACATGAGCATCAGCGTGACCGTCAGTCGCTGAAAGGCACAGCTTCAACATGATTTTTATGCTGGGTTGGTGGTACCTCTGCAGCGTTTGCGGTGGATGTAGCGACGACGAAGGTCCCATTGCCGTCGCTGTGCTGCCCACCGAGCGTTTTGTCCTGGTTCGAACTATTTAATTGCAGGCACCGAATCGACAAGTACAGCGCAGGCTCGAACAACAAAGAAGTATAAATGTGCGGGGACGGGGGGGTTAGCTGTGGCAGCGGCGAAGTGGACTCGATTCGATGTGTTTGAGGCTTCATGATTGTGATGGCACTGTGGCTCTTCAGCGGTCGCTGCCACTTGGTTTGGTTGTGCGAATCCAAGACAGTGGATGGTTGTTTCCGCAGCAGTGGCGTCGTCTCGGCGGTCGGGGCATGAAAGGAGGACGTCCACAGGCGAGAGTCCACCTGGCGCATCAAAGCTAGGAATAACACGCACGGCACCATCTCGGGGAGAACATAGCCGACGAGGATGCACATGTTGGGGTTCTGGATCGCGCCGCATTCCTTGTTCGACCATGGCCGCTGAAAGTACAGAACCGTGCGCAGGGCAAACACGCCGGACGACAGCAACAGGACGGTGTTGAGGAACGCAAGCGCGCGGTAAAGGGCTTGAATTGTCGAGTCGGGTAACTCGCCGACGAGTCGTTGCACGCGAAGGCGCATCTTCCAGCTGAGGTAGAGCATACCGCCGGCACAACCCAGGCTTCCCAGTGCCACCAGGAGCGCAGGCAGCAGGTCGGACCAGAAGTTGATATGAACTCGGGGCTCCTTGTCAAGCTTGATGGGCGCTGCGGGGCTGACAAGCTGCAGCACGAGCACAAATACGTAAAAGACAAAGTTCACGGCGAGGTAGGTATTCCAGATACGTTTGGAGCGAGCCGACATGGCTGGGTTGACAATGTCGAACCAGAAGAACACTTGGAAGAGGACGAGCGAGAAGAAAATGCACAACGCCAGTCGGTTGATGATATTGCGAGCCGATGAGTCGTCTGTCACGAACGACATGGACCGGATCAAGCTGAAGGTACCGACTAAGTACTGGAACACTTTCAACCGCGTGATGGGCAGAGACTGTGGCACGACGCTGCGGTACAGCGCCGCCAGACCCACGACGACATACACCGTCTCGCAGAGGATGGTTATGGACGTCGTGGGTGTCGGAAGCTCTACGAACTCCCCCATGGACGCTTGGAACCCCATCACACGATGGTGCTTTGCATGGAACGGTCGGATCAAAATGCACCAATCAGATCGCTCGGCAAAAAGTCAACGACCGACACCATGGCGCACGTGCCAGAACCAACATGCTAGCGGCCTCGACGCAGCCAGGATCACTCCCTTTTCCCAGCAAGAAGGTACCGAGGCTAGGCGTCGAAAGGTCGGTGGAGCCATCGCCACATACGTGTGAGGTTATGTTACGAGCTCGTCGAGCAGGGATGGTCCTAGTTGTTTTATCTATTGCGTTCGTTTGTGGCGTCAACCTCCTCGTGAAGCAGGAGCCTGCAGCTTGATTCGAGGTATAGGGACAGCTTCTCCCTCCGGAAGGGATTCTGCGTTTTGGTGGTAGTGTTCGAGCTGGCCGATGTACTCGTTGAAGGACGTTCGATCGTACGGAGTTGTCCGCGTGGCACTGCGGCAGCCTTCGAGAGCTTCCAGGAGCCGTTCGTCAAAGGGGAGCCAGAGCGGGTGGCGCTGGAGCGCGACAATGTCAGTGTCAAGCCCGAGAAGAATCGCATCGGATCGAGACCCGATCTGCCGCCGGTCCCCAAACAAGTAGAGCAGGACGAGATGATAACAGAACCGGACGTCGCGGAACCAGTGGCGAAAGAGGTGGTCGAACGCGTCGTGCAGCGCTTGCAGGAGAGATGACTGCAAGTTCATGTCAAACTGGCCGACGCTGTGCAGCAAAAATACCTAGAACGCATCCCCATCGGTGAGTCAACCCTCGCCATTCGAAAACCATACCAAGATCGACTTGAGGCGGTCGACGCGGTCGGAAAAGAGCATCTTTCGCACGTGCTTGACGAGGAGTTGATGCAGCGACGGGTCTTGAAATACGTCCATGGGTACTACACACAAAGCATAAGATGCGATCTCGTCTCGAGTACGACGTACACACGGCGAGCCAATTCTCGAGGTGGCCGACGCACGGGGGCACTGCCCGCACAAACGGGCTGGCTGTGTGCTTGAACAGGATCACCAAAAAGTCGTACGGGGACTGCGTGAGCCCGATGATTTTCGTGGACGTGGCAAACACAACCTGGGGGTACAATATTTCAATGGGAAAATCCGTGTCGACTTTCATCCGGCGCTGGTGCATCAAGTCGAACCGCACGAGGTTCGAGTCGTCGTCGCATTCCAGCGTTTGCAACGTGTATGCCTTCTCGAAGAGGCGCAGGCCGCGGTCGTGCAGGTACCGGTACGCTGGGATATCTCGCCACGGAATGTGCCCGCGGCTGGTGCGGAGAATATGATGCGTCATGGCTATCCACAGCGCGAGGAACATGCTGACGCAGAGCGTGCTCTGGGCATGGACGGGCGACAAAGTCGGGGATGTGGACGCGACCAAGTCGTCGCCGTCGGATATCTGTGCTTCGCAATGGGAGGTGTCGCAAGTGTCCTCCGACGGGTCGTCGATCTGATTGTTGTAGGGTTCATTTGAAGTCTCCGCCAGCGGTTGGAACACCGGTGGGCAGATCGATTTCGTGCCGGGAGGGGCGTCGCTGATGTTTGTGTCCAGGAGCTGCGTCAAGGTGGCGTAGAGGCACTCATCGATCGCTCGCAACGACGGCTGGACGAGGGGAATATCGTCGAGGTGCCAGCCAAAGAGCGCCGGATTGTCGTCTTCAAAGAAAGTCCGCTTGGCCATGCTTGACCGGCGGTGGTGCCGCGGCACTTTCCTCGGCCCCGTGGTCGATCCATTGAATCCCTTTGCATCAAACGTGTCCAGGAGTAGTGTCTGTGCGTGGGGAAAGCGGCAGAACGCAATGGAAACGACCGAGTTGTAGATCGTCGACGCCATGATGGACCGGATGTCCGTGTGCGATGCGTAGCGCAAGGTGCGATGGAGGAGGTAGAGGAACGTCGTGAGAAGTTGGGTCGGGTCGGACGAAAACGGTAGGTGTGGCTCGTCTGCGGCTGAAGCCGACTTGGATGAATGCGTGCGCTGAAGGAACGCCTTCTTCTTGAGGGCCCGCCGCGGCGTCGTCGAGGAGCTTGAAGCGTTGTTGTCGCACACGGCGGCAGCATCCGCCGTTGCGCGGAAGGCCTCATACACCTTGTTGAATTCGCGCCGTTCCATGATTTTGACGATCACGAGCTCTGATTTCTCCCACTTCATCTTTTCGACGAAGTCCACTGTGGAAGACGACGTGTCAGCACAAGTGTGCATCATGCTCTCGCACGTCGCGAGAAGATATTCCCACAGATCAAGAAAGAGCTCGGCGGCGTCGCCGACCGACGGCCGCGTCTTGGACGACGTGTCCACGTCGATCCCCATCGACCAGTCCAGTTCTTCGAGAATGTCGGCTCGTAGCAGGGGGCATGGGTGTGGTGTGAACTGGTAATCGTGGTTGGATTGCGACGCAATTTCATCGTGGTTTCCCAAGAGGCGAGTCGGTTGATAGTGCTGTCGCGATTTCGTCACGACTCGCTGTGCAGTCTCGAGGAACGTTGTCGACACCGTCGCGTACGATTGAAGGCATGTGAACGCAACAGTAGGTCCATTGGTCTTTGCACGCTGCTTATCTTCGGCTTTGGGCCGGGACACGACCCTTGCAAGCGCGAACCGCAGGCCCTGGCCGACGACCATGTTGGTTGTTGGTAACTTGTGTGCCCTCTGACGCAGTGGAGTCGAAGACGTTGCGGATTGGCCGCCTCGTCGTCCTTTTTTATATAAATACAATACAAAAATCAAGATATCAATGAGATGAGGTTATTCTATATCGCAACGTACAACGGCTCAGCATCGAAGTTAATCGGGTCGGGTCAACGATGGGCACGACGCTGGCGAGGGAATGCCGCGCAGAGTGCACACCACGGTCCGTCGATCGACGGGCGCGACGTTTGCGTAGGTCTTGAATGTTTTCAGCTCGGGGTTTGGCGCGACTTGGAATTTTCTCGGGTGATGGAATCAGGCCAGTTTGACGACACCGCCGCGTTCCGTACATGGACCACACCCCGTCGTGCTGTGGCCATCGAGCCACGGACGGGCGGCGACAGATACATATAGGGCAGGCCTTCAAAATTCCTTGGAGTGCCCCCTCCTTTCCGTAACGTGGCCTTGGGACGTGAAACAATCGCGAGGGTTGCCCCGTGGAAGTGCGAACGGGGGGGAGGGGGACGTGTTGCTTACGTCATTGATGCACTCGAACCATCGTTCCACCCAGCGATATACTGTTTCACGGATGCGGTGTGCATCCTGAGCCGAGCGCAGCCACGCCTGTCGTGCAACTTACTACTTTCGTTGGCAATTTGGTCAAGCGACGCCGCCTCCCCCTGCTGTGGGCGAGGGGATGACGGGGGTCATGGCGATGAGAGATCGGGGAGCTGACGAATCTCTGGTGTGCAATATCCATGAAGCCACTTGACTTCTATTTCAGGTTTCACTCATCGACTTCGGTGAACGTTTACATGGAGCTTCGTGATCAAGGTCACTCGACGTGCGCAAAAGCCCAACCGATCGCTATCAACGTCGCGAGCAAGAACAAGCGAGCTTGACGGGTTTGCTCGATTCGCCACTCCAGGGATACGCATGCAGCTCGAGTTCCGAGCACCCTGCCCCGAATGCTTCGAGGCCCCGAGTGCCAACATTGGGTGTTGCATTCGCCCACCACAGTGTTCAAGGCAAGAGGCATCTATCTATATGTTGAAGCGTATCGACCATGTAAGCGAAATCGACACTTCATCTCTGCCGGCTCCAAGCGACGAAAGATGAGGGTGTCCTGTTTCGAGTTCGGATTTGGACAGGTCAGTTGGCGTGACAATGTAGAAGCCGTCCAACTTCACAGCTTGCTCAGCATCAAGCGCCGAAACAATACGGCGTCGCAGCTGTTGCCTTGCATTGGGTAACCACTCGGCTGGCAAAGCAGTGGCCGGTGTAGACAAGGGTGGACTGGATGCTCTTTCTGCGACGGTAGCATCCTCGCGCTCCACTCCCTCGGGGACAAAGCTGTCAGTCGAAGGCGGTCGCTCCGATTGAGCGAGAGAGATGAAAAGAGAGTCGTGCCATGGCGATGGCTTGATGAAGGCTCGAAAGTAAGACTTGCGTAGTATTGTAGGGGCCAATTGGGATCGGGCATCACTCTTCATTGCTTATCTCGCCCATTTGAGACTCAATTTTCACACAAGAAGATAAAAAACTGCAAATCTTGCTTGAAAAGTTCTTCTATGGACATTCAGTTTTTTTGAGTCAGGAGGACTTTTAAAATTGAGACCAAAAATAACAATCACGAAAAATGACTTCAGCCAGGTTTACTCAGCACGACATTTCATTGGATACTGAAATTTAAAATTGCCAAAAAATTACGTTTTTGAAGAAAAACCAATTACCCACAGTCAATAAAAAACCTATTCACTTTCAGAAGAGGCCTCAAGCAGGTTTCCATCAGCTTCTTCCGATGGTTCCGCTTCAAGGGCCAGGATCTCGTTTTCTGCCGCCTCCATGTACGCATCTTCAAACGAGCAACACTTGTCGTGCGCAGACACCCAATGCGACGAGGTCACTTCAGCGAAGTGAGTCTTCAGGCGTCGCTCGAGGTCTGCCATGTCCGACGACGGCCTACACGCAATTTTGTTCTTCACAATGCCCCAAATAACCTCGATAGGCTGGAGCTCTGGATGGTAAGGAGGTGTGAACAACAAAGTATGACCATGTGATGTAGCAATGACCTGAGATGCATATGACGGACGCTCCCGATTGGCCTTCACGGTCACAAGCAGCTCTGCCTTGGTAAGCCTTGACTCGAACGTGACGCCTTTGGATGTCAACCAAGCAATGATATCTGCCTTAGACGTGGCAGTTGTCGGACATGGATTTAATATCCGTTTGTGGTACCGCGCCCCGTCCATGTGGATGACGCAAGTTCCGTACGTATTCTTGAG